GCCCCGCGATGGCGCGGCGCACTCGAGCGCCCCCTCCATCGCCCACCGGGCACCCGTCAGTCACACCCACTGCCCCCGAGTCGACTGGACTCACAGCCACTCTACAGAACCAAGAACTGCCCGTGGGCGTCCAAGGCGGAAATCTTTCTGGAAGCAGACTGCCACGGCTTTCTCCCACGGAGCAGCCAGTGGGTTTGAACTGCTGACCTTTCGGTTAGCAGCCAAGAGCTTAACCACTCCATCACAGAGTACTCACAGAGCACTCACAGAGCACTCACAGCGAGCCCACAGGGCAGACTGGAGCCGCCCACAGCCTTCCCAGGCAGTATTTATGGAAGCAGACCGGCTGGGGTCTCTCCTGCCCAGAGGCTGGTGGGATCAAACCACAGGCTTTCAGTTACCTGCCGAGTGTGTAACCACTGAGCCACCAGGCCTCCTCCAGGCCTCCTTCACCCTTCCCCTCTTCCTGGAGGGTTTTTCAATCATCTGTGTCCTCAGTTACCCAGAACAACAAAGCCTGGGAGAACAGAGATGGGGGCACCATGTGGTCTCTGGGGTGCCCCCCACCCCCACTGGGGTCTCCCAGGAGCTGCCCGTGCTACATTTGCTTTTCCTCATACTAATTGGGGGACCCACCAGAGAATACAGACTGAGGGTAAGGGGACAAGTCAACAAGGCTTGATTTGGGGAGACAAGATGAGGTAGGGGCTGCCCTGGGGCTGGGAAGAAGGGTTCACACCCAGGACACAGGGTGAGCAGCACCTGGGAACCCAGGGACAAATTCGAGTCACTTTTCCCAGAACCAACCACTGACCCTGCCAACTCGAAATGACTGGAGGCCAACAGGGAGCCCCACCCGCCCTCCTTCCCCATACCAGGCCTGGCTGCTGGGGAGCAGGGCATGTAGAAGGGGCTGCCTGGGTGAGGAGGGCAGGGAAGGGGGAGGGAAGCAGCCCCAGATGACCCAGGTGCTGTCCAGCTGATTGCAACGCGTGGTGACACCGTGTGTGCCACACGTGGGCTGCACGGGGTATCAGTGGCTGCCCTTTCAGAAGCAGGTCCCCAGGCCTTACTCCTGGTCCTGAACTTCTTCCCGCCCCTTTGGTTCTCAGCTGAGCACGGTTTGCATTACCCAAACCATCACAGGTGAAATCATCAAATTCTACTGAAAAATCCAGGAGCTCTGGTGGCTCAGTGGCTGAACACTCAGCTGCTTACCAAACGGTTGGTGGTTGGAACCCACTAGCCGCTCCTCCGGAGAAGAGGCAGTCAGCTTCCATGAAGACTGACAGCCTTGGAGACCCTGTGGGCAGTTCCACTCTGTCCTCTAGGGGCGCTGTGGGTCAGAATGGACTCCACGGCAGTGGGTGTGGTTTGGGCTTTGCTTCTGTGAAGATTGACAGCCTTGGAGACCCTGTGGGCAGTTCCACTCTGTCCTCTAGGGGCGCTGTGGGTCGGAATGGACTCCAGGGCAGTGGGTGTGGTTTGGGCTTTGCTCTTGTGAAGATTGACAGCCTTGGAATCCCTATAGGGCGGTTCCACTCTGTCCTACAGGGTTGCTGAGTTGGCAAAGGGGTTTTTGTTTTTTTAAACAAGAAATCAAATTGCTGTGCTCTGGATGCAAATCCACTGAGCCTCCACACACACATTGAACCAACTGTGGTTAACAGGGCCATCCTGGCCTCATCCAGCCCCCTTGGGCCCAAGCATGGGTTACTAGGGTGCACACATGTATAGGGACCCAGGGTCTCTCACCTGGCGGCCGGATGCCGGCAGCAGTCCTCAGGGCGTTGTAGCTGGCCACCCAGTTCTCGTGCTCCACACTGCCCCTGCGGCCCACCACCTTCACCCACTCGGGATTCTCATTGACCACCTCGCCCGTGGTGGTGGTCCACTCCTTGCCCAGGCCACCCACGTACAGGTGCTCGTCCTTCACAGCCAGCCACTCAGCCTTGAAGCCTGCAGGCAACGAGGAGACAGACCCCTGAGACCCCGACCCAAAGCTGCTACTCTGCTCCCAGCTCGTGGACTGGCCGCTGGTCATCCCGGCCACTCGAGGCAGCCTGGGCGTCCAGGGCCTGGGCTTCACTCACGGGAACAGGACTGGGCAAACCGGAGGGCCTGGCTCCAGCCGCCGAATCTCACAAGCTCGCTGGACAGAACGTTCACTCCGGGCAGGTGGGCCCCTTCCCTCCCTCCCTTCTCTGCCACCTCCAGGAATAGAACTTGCCCACCCTCCAAGTCCTCCCCACCTTTCCCACGCAACTCCTGAACGCCAAGTTCTCAAAGATCTCCCCGATCCCAAATCCTGTTTCTCAACCTGTCATCCTCCACCCCAAGATTGGTCTCAACTCCTAGAGATGCTGACGGCTGCCAGTGCTGAGGTTTCCACAGTGGAACAGGCGAGCTGGCTGCTCACGGAGTCAGTAGGGGGCTGGGGCTAGGGTGGGTGACAGCATGGCGAGAGGGTCACGGTCTTCCTGTCACTGACATCGTCATTGGGGCCGACATCTCCCCCCAAAGGCTGCTCTTTTATGTAGGAAGCTGATTTTTAAGGCTGCGACACAGCTTGGGCTGAAGGGGGATGGGTCCCTCCCGTGTCACCTCAGCTGTCCTCACTCTGAACCGTGCTCGAATCTCCAGATACCAGGGGCTTCCCGGTAGCACCAGAGAGCTGGCCCTGCAGCCCAGCCACCAAGCTGGCCCTGCTGTGTTCTTGTGGCTCCAAGAATTGCTGCAGGCCCCTCAGCCAATCCCCAGGTGACGGACTCGCCACTGCCCTGGCCTCCCGCCTCTCCTGGGTGACCCGACCTTGCTTTTCTCTCTGAGGGGAGGGACAGGACTGCATGATGGTGGCCTAAGGCCCACAGACGAGGCAGGAAGTGGGTGGCCAGCACATTCTCTAACATCTGGGCTGAGTGTGTGTGCCCTGCCAACTGCCCGGCCTTGGGCAAACCCTAGAGGGTGTGATCGTGGGGAGGGCCGGGCTCTGTGATTGTGCTACAGCTGCTCCCTGACCTGAGCGTGGCCTGGGGCCACCGTCCCAGAAGGCCGAGCCACAGGCAGTGTGCACGCGCATGGGGGTCCCACCGGCTCCTGCCAGTGCCCAAGTGCCCTTCCCACTGCTCCTGGCCTGAAGTTCTGGCCCCTGGGGGTCCCCTCAGTGACTGTGGTCCCTGTGCTTCCCACTGCCCCTGGCCTGAAGTTCTGGCCCCTGGGGGTCCCCTCAGTGACTGTGGTCCCTGTGCCTGCTGGAAGAGAGTCCTTCCCAGCCAACAACAGAGCCTGTCCCTCACCGCAGGTCTTGGGGTTGGATGAGTCCCCATTCCGGGCAGGTACTGGCGTTCAGACATGCCCTCCTCTGCTGGGTTTCAGAGTTCACCTTCTAACAAACCAGCCAGGTCTCAGAACACCTGACCCGTGGCTCTAAAGGGAAGGCACTGGAGGAACGTAACCCGAGAGAGACTCTCGGTATCTGTTAAGGCACAGAAAATACCATGTTCTCTGGGGCATTCAAGGTGGCACTGGGTCCACCCCAAACTGATCCTGGAAAGAATCCCCCAATTCCCTGGCAGCACCTTAAGAATCGGATGCTTCCAGACACTGCTCTGGTTCAGGCCCTTTGCCCCTGGCTCTGGGGAGGCCAGGGCTGGGGCAGGGAGAGTGCTTTTCCCTGGTGGCTCTGCTCCACACGGGTGGATGTTGCCGCCTGCCTGTGGGACTTCCGGCTGCAGACCACGCTGCACCCAGGCTACCTTCTGCTGCCCGCGGCTGCCTCACCTTTGCCCACGGTCCCGTCACCGTCCGACAGGATCACCCAGGGCACGGCCTTGGAGCCCTCGATCTGGTACACCACGCCCGTCCGGTCGTCCACGGAGTAGAGCTTCCCGTTGAAGACGATCAGCTCCGAGAGCTCCATGCCCCGCCCCTTCTCTGCCAGGTGGGACTCCAGGACCCCCTGCTCTGGGTCCCACTCCACGGCCACCTGGTCCCCGCTGTCAGACAGGGTCAGGTGGCCCTTCTTCAGGTAACTGAACCAGGTGTGCTCCTTCTGGGCCCTCGACTCTGTGTCCAGGTCAGCAATGACGGCAATGCGGTAACGGGTGCCCCCAGGCGTCTTCTGAGGTGGGGAGAGCGGGTAGGTGTCATTGTAGCGGTCGGCGGCGCGGGGGCTGAGCCTCCAGTTGTGGGCGTTGGATGTGGGGGGCCTGGCGGAGGGTGTGCGGTGGGTGTAGACCAGCCAGAGCGTGGCGGCGCCCAGGAGGGAGAGCAGGATCACCCTCCAGCGTGGTCGGAAGCGGGGGTCCGCGGCCTTGGTCATGGACGCCAGCACCGGCAGGCCCCCCACACTTATGCGCAGGGCGTGCATAGACTCATTCCACTCCACGGGGTCGGAGGGCGGCGCAGGCATCCGTGTGGGCGCTGGGTGGGACCTGCAGAGTGGGAGAGGTCAGCAGTTTGGATGTGGCCACCAGCAGGCCACGTGAAGACGCACGCGTAAAGTGGCATTTGCCCAGAACACACGGCCCTTCTGCCGCTCTACGCCATTACTCTTTTCCTTGGTGTAGTGAACCCTCGGCGCCAGTGGCAGCTTTGGCTGCTCTTCCAGATGAGCCGTGTTCCTTCCCAAGGAGTTACCACCCTCCTCCATCCCAGATGACAAGACAGGGCGCCTGGTGAGAGGATTCCGTGAGCTCACTGACCGGGCAGGCAGAGGGGTCAGTGTGCGGTGGGGCCGGGCCAGGGTGCAGGGGAGGTGGCGGGCCAGGTGAAGCCAGCACTAGGGTGCGGAGCCAAGCCTTCCTCGAATACCACCTCTCTGGAGGCTGCTTCCCTGCCACTGCCCCCCTCAGCATCCACCCCCAATGACACCATGTCACACGCTGTCAGTCTGTCCATCCTCAGCTCCGGGCAGCAGAGTCCCCCTTCCCTCCTGGTGAGCTGTCTGTGGCGTCTGCGTGGATGTCAAACAGCCCTCCCTCCCTCCCTGTGCCTCTGCCTCGTCGCCGGCAGCCCACGGCCCCCACTCAGGACAGGACCACCCCCGCCTCGGCTCCAGTGCAGGCCCGTCAGCTCCCTGTCTGCTCCGAAGACTCAGCATTACGTCACCTCTCCTTCCCACTGCCCCGTAGCCAGCATCTCCGTGGGCACCTTCCAACTCCTCCCCACGGCCCCCTAGCCATCTCTGTGGGCACCTGCAAACCACGGTGGTCACTGGGAAGAGCCCACAGCACAGGCCCTTCTGTTGGAAGGGGTGTCTCCACTGTTCACAGTGACCCCCGCAGTTGCCCCAGCACGGTTGGCCCTGAGCACGGGCTCTCAGGTAGGCCCGCCTCTCTCCCTTCTGCAGCCAGGGCCCACCTTCAATCACTGAGCAGCGCTCCCCACGCCACTTCACCTCTGTGCTCTGGCCCTGCACCCCGGCCCTCAGCGAACCCTGTGAAGAAGCCGGGCATGCAGGGGTGAATGAATGCACGGAGCACCCCTGCAAGCCCCGCCAAGTTCCCCACTGGGGAACAGCCCGCACCTGCATGGGCCCTCTGGGCCCGGGGTTGGCCCCACTGCTCCTGGGCCCACCGTGACTGATGGTGCTGACTCGCTCCCTCCCTGGGACACTGGGACAAGCTCCTGGCCTGCTCCCTGTGGGCCTCTGCCACCCGCCCTGTCATGCCATACCTTGTGCAGGGCACAGCCCCTGCCATGAAGACTCCAAATGCCCATCTCACCCAGGCCTCAGCCTGGATCCAGGCCAGAGTGCCAGGCCGCGGGCCTCTCCAGCCCCTGGCCACAGGCCCCCGGAATCCTGGGAACTCATTTTCCCCCTGAACAGGTTCCTCATCTGACTTCCCTGGCTGAGGACACTCGCGCCCTCGGGCCTGCTGCGGAGCACCTGGGCCCTTCCTTCCGCTCCCTCTGGAACCCGGGGCCACTGCTGCAGCTGCTGTGGAGGCGGCCCGGCTCTGCGACCCCAGACCTGGCGGGACAGAGTGCTCCCAGTCCTGCGCCAGCCCCGCGATCGGGTGCGCCTCGGGGTTTCTGTGGGCTCACGTTCCGAAGCAGACTGCCAGGCCCTCCTTCCTGGTCCTGCTCTGAAGCTCTGCTCAAGCCTGGTCAGCGTCCCAGCAGCACACAAGCCTCCACGGACAGACGGGCGGGCCTGCACGTCAGGAGCCCTGGACGGGAACTGAACCCGGGTCTCCTGAACGGAAGGCGAGAAGCCCAGCACGGAATGGCCAGCTGTGCCCTGCTCCCCGCAGGCACCTGCTGATGTCGGGCGCTGTCCACCGCGACTCACTGTGACCTCAGAGGAGAGAACTGAACCACCGCGTGGGTTCCTTGGCTGTAACCTCACGGGAGCCGAGTGCCAGGTCCTTCTCCCACGGAGCCGCTGGCTGGATTCGAACTGCCCACCTTTCAGTCACAGTCAGGCACTTACCCACCAGGGCTCCTGACAGCAGGCACTAGGTCTCGCCAAGGTGCCTGCACCCCTCTCTGGATTTGGTTCTTTTGACGCCAGCCCTGACCTGTGGCTGTGGACACTGACGACCACTTCCCTCAGCCTCAGTTTCTGTCTGTAACTGTGGACACTGACGCCACCAACCTCAGACCGCTGCGCTGATGACCAAAGAAGGTGCCATGGTGGTGGCTTCACTGCGGGTCTTGCTCACAGCTCCCCTACTCGGCTGCTTCCTCACCTCACTCCTCCATCAGCTGCCTGCCTGAAGGGGTTGGTAAACTGCAGCCCGGGGCCACACCGGCTGCCGCCGTCTGTCAGAACCCAGCCCCACTCGTTCCCTTTGCACTGCTGCTCATGGCGACACCAGGGTTGGGGAGCTGCACCCAGGGCGCGGGGCCCACAGAGCAGGCGACACCCGACACCTGGCCCTTTACAGGAAGCGTGTGGGTCTCCGGTCTTGACTCCCCAGTGCCATCCGCCACAGACCGATGGGATGTCGGTCTGAAAGGTTAATCCGGATTTTAAAAAACACCAACCTTGTTGGCGAGTTGATTCGGACTCCTAGCAGCCCTGCAGGATGGAGCAGGACTGCCCCATGGGATTGGCAAGGCTGTACTCATTCCGACAGCAGACTGCCACGGCTTTCTCCACAGAGCGGCTGGTGGGTTTGAACCCCCGACCTCTGGGTTGGCAGCCACTGCATCACCAGGGCTCCTGAAATACGACTCAGGACTTCTCAATGGACCCGTGCCTTCATGCTGAAGGCCACGCCCGGCCTGCAGCAGACAGGCCACTTTGTTTCTCTGCCTGGTTTCCATGCACTCTGCATCCACTCCACGCCGGGTTATCTACAATTCCGGGTCCTAGGGTCATTATCATTGCAGAGGCCACTCCTTCCACCCAGAACACTCATCTCTGGGGAATTGCACCCAGGGCGCGGGGCCCACAGAGCAGACGACACCTGACATGGGCGCGTGGGACCACCGACGACTTCCTGGATATGCAAAGACAGGCATGCAGTCCCTTCACACACCCACACCCTCGAGGAGCCAGCTCCATCCTGGCCTCCCCGAGTGAGCCTTCCCTGGACACTGGTCCCTAGGCACTCAGACAGCTTGCAGACTGCAGCTGTGATGAAGTGGAAGCTCTGAGACGGGAGGTCTCTTGATTGTCCAGGTGGGCCCCAAATGTCCTCATGAGGGGATGACAGAAGAGAAGGTGGCAGGGGGACCACAGAGGCAGATCTCAGTGATGTGGCCACAAGCCAAGGTATGCTGGCTGCCGGCAGAAGCTGGAAAAGACAAGTACGGATCCCACCCAATCCCTGGCAGGGGGACGGCCCTGCAGACACCCACCAGACGTCCTGCTTTCCACTTCTGGTCTCTAGACCTGGGAGGGCAAACGTGTGTTTACACCACCACGTATGTGCTCACCTCCTGTGCCCTGTGACACTCCTCTGCCAGAGTAGAGAACACGCACTGCAGTGGTGTCCTGACACATGGTCCCCTCACCCCGAGCTACGGTGCAGGGTCTGCGTCACTGTCCTTGCAGGTATCCTCAGTCACCTTTTGCTAAACAAGAGACTGGTCGCTCTGGAACAACCTGCCTGGGACCAAAGCTGACCCTTGGTCTTCGTCGTTGCTCGAGTGTTCCTGGCAATTCCTTTTTCTTGTAGAAAGAATCTTTCCAGTCAGATGTCTGTTTCTTTCTCAACCACAGGCTGCGGGTCACCTGACCCCCGGCACTGACCGTGCACTGCCTGTAGTGTGCAGTGGCCAGCGGTGTGCTGCACAGTGACAGCTTGCATCTTTGTTTATTTACAGAAGAAAAGGATTTTGCCTGTCAAGAACCACTGCCACCAGAAGAAACCACTGAAGGTGGAAGATGGGCAGGGAGCCCCAAGGGAGGGGCCTACCTGAGGCGCTCCTCCTGGCCGACATCCTGGATAGCTCCTGGGAGCTGCGGTCAGGGTAGCTCCCGACCCGTGCTGACCCCACGCACGACGTGACCTAACACTGCCCGGTCCCGGGCGTCCCCACGATCAGCTGTGGCCCACGGGCTTCCCACTGGCTTGTTTTCAGAGGCTGGTCACCAGGCCTTTCTTCCTAGTGTGTCCTCATCCGGAAGCTCTGCTAACCCGCTGAACATCCCAGCAGCATGCAAGGCTCCACTGACGGACGGGTGGTGGCTGCAGGAAGCGCCTTGGGGGGACTTGAACTCAGGTCTCCCACCTGGGAGGTGAGAACTCCATGGCTGAGCCTCAGCCTTCTAAGCACCCAAATGCTCGCTTTGCTGTGGCCGGAGAAAGCTGCAGGACAGTGGTCTGGTTTTGAATAATCAGGAAAGAGAATAAGGAGTTAAGAAACTGACACAAAGTCTTTGGCTGACCCAGTTCACTGCTCAGGGGCTTCAAGGAAGGCCCCTCTTCGGTTCAGAAGCCCGGGGGCGCTGCCTCTGTGGTCTCCTTCCCCAGGTGCAGGATCCATGGAGAGGTAGCTGTGAGGAAAGGCAACCACCTAAGGACCCGGCCCCCCTTTACCTTTGGCTGCCATGCTCATGATTCTGTCTCTCAAACCGGAAATTCTCCGTACAACAGGCCTGCAATGGCCAGGTGTATGAGCACCGGGTCTGTCCACTGCACGGCCCGCCCCAATTCTGAGGGAGCAGATGGTCTCTCCTGGCCCCTCCCGGGCCCGGGAAGAAGTCAGTCTGTGCCCACCAAGACCAGCATGGGAGCAGGCCCACCTACCTTCATAGGCGGCCACGGGCCTGCGCCAGCCTCCACCACCTGGCTTCTGGTGAAGGGAGCGAGAATCCCAATGCGGCCTGAGAGGCCTCCTTCCCGGATCCCTCTTGGGGTGGTGTGTGCCAGTGGCAGGACAAACAAGTCTAACGGCCAGGCCGCTGCTAGAAACTCCTCCCTTCCAGGATGCGGCCGGCAGCAGGGCAGGAAG